ACCAGATCAATACATTACAAATATACAGAGAGAGAAAAAAAGAAACTATGGTCTTATAATGATAACACAATCATTTAATAATAATGGATGCAAGATAATTTGTAATATATAATGAGTTAATCACCTATCCAGTTGCTGGATCATCTCAAGTCCAAGCAATCTTATCTGTTATATAATCGGATACCTTATAGTAAGCTTTTTAATAAGTATTATTTTAATAGTAGATTTAAACTGCATGATATCTAATTGTTGTATTTTGCTTGGGACTTTATTGTAGAAGCGCACACAAAGACCCCTAATGTCATTTGGAAACTCACTTCACTATACCACGAAACGTTATTTCCAATTCAAGATTGAGCGTATGCCGCTTTTTGAAGTGAATTAAAAAATGAATTGAAGTGGACACCTGAGTGAATTCGAATTCGGGATTTGATTTTTACACAACCGCAGGGCAGGAGTTTACTAAAAACGTAATATTCATAATCAGCATATCACTCGACAGCGGAAATCGAGACCCCTAATTCCCAACCCCGGATGGAATATGTTTACCATGTTGACATTCCCCGTTATCACCTCACATTAACGACACCCCAGCTGCTGCCAACACAACCTTACTCCGGCGTAATAAGAACCACCATTTCGACAACAAATTGACGGAAAATAACGTCTGGAGAATATGCCAAGGGCGGATATCAAAACAAATTTAAAAGCATTCCCCCTGTAAAATTTCCTGTAAAAGTAGAAAGCTTGTAAATTTTATCAGTGAAATTTAATAAAATAGCTGTCCTTGCCTTTTTTATACTAACCTATTTTAAAATTATTTGATAACCTATAAAGCTTGTCGCATGTATAATGATTTTCAAACCTAATAATTGTGTTATTAAAATACCTTTTTTAGGGTTCCAATGTAAACAAGGAACCCTTATCGGGGCGGATCTACCTAAGGGCTTAACGGGCCTTATTTAGCCATGGGACCCTTGTATATACGGTACTTTTACATTATGTACTAATGAAAACTGTTTCTTAACAAAAAAACCTACAATTTCTTCCGTAATTAATTTCCGTAATTAAACTAATAGGCTCCTGATTAATATTAGCCCAGGGCCCTACAATTTCACGATCCGCCCCTGACCCTTATAGTTTCGCCATATCGGTCTGCCCGTCCGTCTGCGGTTTAGTTGAAAAACCATTGGTACTAGAAAGTTGTACTCTGGCATGAGAATACACGTTAATTACGCCAACAAAGTAGTAAGGAAAATTATTAAAAAAAAACATTTACGGTACCTACCTCCCCTACATGAAAAGTGGGTGATATTTTGTTTCGTTTTCCCTATATAAACATTCGGGGTATATCCCCATAGAAAGACCATTTTTGATTAATAAACCGTTTATGACTTAATAAGCTTCAAAGAGCTAATTTTCGTTAGAGTCAAGAGTTCTCCCCTCTTGACCCACTAAATAGTCGTTGATAAAAATTCAAATCTACTGCAGTAGTATATATATATTACGAAGTTAAAAGAAAACTACAATAAAAACACAATAAAGTTGGTTTTTTTACGAGTAATAGACGACCTAATAGAGACGACGAGTAATAGATATTGTATTTAAGTTAAAAATTTCGAACATAGAAAACAACAAACGTGTTTTTTTTTTTTTACTTTTACGCGCGCGAGACCGAACGCACTTGGCCGGTTTTTATTCAAAATGACTTCGATTGGGTATTTAATGCTTACCCATCGTCGTAAAGTACTAAATTAGGCTTAATTTTTACTTTTTAAGTAAGTTGTATATTTATGTAAATTCAAGGTAAGTACATATTACTTACTCAAGGTAGGGTTCAAATAACAATTAACTGACCAAGACACATTTCATGGCAAAACATTGTTTTGTTAAAAATGCTACAATAACCAAAAGAATAAGTAGCTAAATTTGCGTATAATCCAGCGGAACAAACATGTCATACGTTAATATAAAAGCAAAGTGTATGAGCGGGCTGTTCTCATTTGTTCAACAGTATAGTAATGTTGCGGTTACAATTTTTGATTCCATTATGCTGCATGATATTGGTGAGATTTCCTTGTTTAATTTTAGTAAAAATAAATATAAATTAAGTAAAAAATTGTTCTAACCAATCTTTCTCTACCTTTTTATAAGTATTTTATAATTTTACAGCCTTATTTTTTTTGTTGGCATTTAAATTAAACCGTCTTTGATTGAGTTTATTTTTCGATGTTTTGGATGTTTTAGTAAATAGTTCTTAATTTGAAAAATAATTAGTTGCTGAAAAATAATATCCTCAATAAACAGTTTCTAATAATTTTTTGTGTCCGACCAAATAATCGGTATCGGTTTCGGAAGACTTTCGGCAAAAAACGAGTTTCGATTTCGATGGCAAACCTAATGAAACTACGACCGAAACCGAAAATGCATTGAATGTGGTATTTTAATTTCACTCTTCTCACTAGTCTTAGATTCCATCTACTTAATTGCTCAAATAAACACCTCATCTATTTTTAGTACTTTTAAGGCACAATTATTTGTTCCTTTATTGAGGGGATTGAGGGGTCGTTAAGTATGTTGATATCATGATGAAAGTGTCTAAGACTGGATAGTTTTGTTTTAAATCACAAAGATAAGAAAATAAAGACTGATTGAATTTAAAAACGTTTTCTTTATTTTTCCCCCAATATATGATCTTAGAAAGTTTCGGTTTCGGCCGAAACTGAGACCATTGCCGAAATTCAATTTTGGTTAGAAAAACTAGTTTCGGTCGGAAACTAATAATTTCTCATCAACATACATCTGTAGTTGATAGGTACGCACAATGCCAGCTCAATTATACTTGGCACTCAAGGCAAAATATTGGTACTTGATGTCCTAGGCAAAAGGGATGACGCCCGTAAAAAATCATAACCAAATAAAAGACTGATTAGCCTTTTCCGGCGTAAATCGTAGCCTTTGTTACTCGCGTATAATGTAATTTCCCATAGTGAAAGAATTTTCATAATCGGATCAGTACCTAAATACTTCCGAAGATACCCCTCGTAATCAAAGTTAAAAACTTTAAGTACCCTTATTATTAATATAGATAAGCTTTATATTATTCTGTTAAAACATGGTAGATAAAACGCGGAGATAGATTAAAAATTAGAGGGACAGACGTAAAAAGGGATTTAAGATGAAATAATAATTGTGCAATTTTATTATTACAGATATTAGGCACTTTTATGGTTGAAGAAGGCAAGTAAATAACTCATGTTATTTCTTTAATCTAGCGTCAGATAGAAGTGTTACTTCTTTAAGGGTCTTGATCATATGTGTGATCAAGACCCTTAAAGAAGTAACACTTCTATCACATTATTTTTATTTGTAACTATGTATATTATCTAGAGGACTGGTTTCTTGTGATAGGTTTTTGAATTTTCCAGTTTGACAACTGTGTTTTTTACAAATATGGCGGGTACTGCACGTTAGACTACTATAATATGTAAGATAACCATAATCGATTTTCAACTCTAACTACAAAATATTAAGGTTTAAAATCAAGTGAAGATATTTAACAGTTTTGTATAGCCTAACGCGCTGTTGATAGTACACAAAATTTGGATTTTTATTTGGAAAGAAAAAGCGCACTTGAGTTTTCAAATTTGTGAGAATACTGTAAAATTGTCTCTATTGGGGGCAAAAATTATTTTATTGAGTCAAAGTCAAAGTCAAAATAATCTTTATTCAAATAGACTTCTTAAAAGTACTTTTGAATCGTCCAACATTTTTTCCCTACCACTCGTTCAGGACGTCTTTTGGCTGATAAGAAGAACGAGCAAGAAACTCACCAGCTCTAATATGAGTAATGACATTTACAAAAACCATGTCATTACCAGATCAATACATTATAAACAGAGATAAAAAAAAAACTATGGTCTTATAATAATAACATAATCATTTAATAATAATGGAAACAAGATAATGAGTTTAGAAGTAATCACCTATCCAGTTGCTGGATCATCTCAAGTCCAAGCGTTCTTATCTGTTACATAATCGGATACCTTATAATAAGCTTTTTTAATTGATTTGCATGTATTATTTAATCTTCCTAGCATTATTTCGTAATGCATCTAGTCGTATTATTATATTCTATTTCAGTTCATGCAACACCGTGCATTTTTGACCTGCTATTCAGACGGCACCACAAAAATGAAACTGACAAAAATCATGGACAAAAAGATAAAAAACCCGACGTTGATATTATTCAGAAAAGTAAGCAATCGCACTTCCTCTACTTCATTAATAACATAACACTATATCATTATTAGCAACCTGTGATTGCATTAAGTTGCCTCCAGCTAATTTATGCTAAGAACTATTATAAACAGGATAACTTTGTGTTCGTCAGACTGGCAGCGCCACCTTCTTTGATTTAAACATCATTCTTGCTTCTGCCGAATTTTGATATTTTAGTGTTTGCTATCTGCTGATAGAATTCGGCAGGCGTTACACATTCGACTTGGTGTAAACCCAGCAGCGCCACAAAGACACTTGTTTATCTTCGAAACTACGTAACTTAGCTGTGTTTGTCCTTATTTCATAACGGACTAATAAATATGAGACTAGATGGATCAATCATTTTATTTCAGCATCAAAGAGGGTGGCGCTGCCAGCCTGACATCAGCTGAGCCGCGTCACACTCTTATCTCACATATGAAGTAACTTTGCTATTTGTCTCTATTTATTGACGGACTCATAACCAAGGGAATGACGAGTCATTCACTTACGACTAGATCTTTACCTAGTGTCGCTGCCAGACTGACGGACACTGAAGGCGCTACTTAATTAAAATTTTCTTTTTTTCTTTTCCAGTGTTGACACTACTGTGTAAGTATGAATCATACATCCACTATAAATATATGGGTTAATGACAACATCTTTAAATCTCTTTATTTCTTGCAGTTGGAGGTATATGATAAAACAAATCCCTACTACCTACCAGTATCGTCTTCAACATATCGGAACACTATACATAAATAAAAATGTAAAATAAAAGTCTGTAATAATTTATATATTAATTTAATACTCATTTCACAACATAAATGAGAATCGTACACCACTCGCGATTTATTTTACAATATCAGTCGATTTCTTACAAAAAAAAAAAACATTTAGGCTACAACAACTCACACTGTAGAATAAATCCAAAATATTACAAAACGGCACACGGTGCCATCAATTAACATTAAGAAGACAAAACAGCAAAGTTACCCGTATAAAGAACTATATACGCGCAACAGTGCCGTTACAATTTAAACCTTATATACAAAAGAACTCAGTACGTTCTTCATACGACAATCGCCTGCAGTCCGAACATTGGAATATATTTAGAGAGGACAACCTCATAAATTAATTGAATAGCTATAGAAGAGTGGAACACACAACTGAGCGTAACTTAAACTGCATCTACACGTGACACGCTCGCACACACACATATACGCTGTCACTTATTGTCTCTACACTCACTCACGCGACTTCTTGTTTACAACTCGTCGTGGTCCTCCTGTGGACAAAAGAAATTCGCGTTAGTACAAACACAATAGACAATGTCCCTTGCAAATACCCACATTATACCGAGAAATAACACAATATACAATTCAATAACAAATCGGTATAACAAACAACACATCCAATATACTTTTAAAATGATTGAGACTTCTTTTTATAGAATACTAAGTATCAAAACATGCTAGGGAAGAATTACTAAATATAATTGACGTGTTTGATTTCAAATACCCAATTAAATACATCAAATATATATATGTTTTTTGTGTATCTATATTATTCAAATTATTGCAAAGTACAAAGTAAAAGCTGTGCAAATATATAATTATCACAAGAGAAATAAATACAGAACCTTAATCTACTGTCTAGCAGTTATCACGAAAGACACAATTCTGGCCATATTTACACCTCAGAGTCAAAACTCTATTTTAAAAAGTATACTTACCATAGGCGCAGCATCGCCCGCCTCATCATCGAGATCCTCGTCATCTTCATCATCAGGTTTCTCAGCCTTCTCCTTCGCCCTTTCAATTTCATCTTGTTCATTCTTCATCTTCTTCTCACCCTCCTGTGTCTTCTTGATCGCCTCTCCCCTCTCTTTAGCGACCTCTACGTCATCAGTGAACAGGAAGTTATCGAATATGGTGCCAGATTTGACCTGCCATAGATCGAGACCGACCGCGCAGAGCTCGTTGCGCTTGTATAATGACGAGTCTGGAGTATACTCAGGATTATCAATCTCAGGATGTACCCAAGGACCCTTGTATGCAGGATTATCGATCTGGAAAAATCAAAGATTAATGTTATTTCATTATTACTAGAAATCTTGGCTATTTAATGAAATAATGCTCTTGAACTTAACTAAGAATATAATAATGTTTAAAATTAATTCGAGAAATTCGAATTTTGGGAAATTTTTCTTGTTGACCATAGTTGTTGTGAACTTAAGAGATACACATACAAAAGGAATGGAGAAATGGAATCTAGAATACTCCTATCATATATTATGCTAGAATTCTTATATTTTAATATACTGTAATTGCATGGCTGAATGGTTTTTTCATATTGCCTGTATTTTTTTTTTAAATAAGAAAAATGTAAGTCTGAATTTCATCTATGCTTAGGCCAAATTTCACAGGAATATGTTGATTGTAACTAAAACGTTTACGCAAATAAAAAACATCTAAAGCATGTAACTAGAAATAATGGAAACATTTTTTACACATGCCTATGAACTCTACAATGTAAATTCAAAAACAAATAATTTTACGAAAAAAACAATATTCAATCGATTGCGTTCCTGTGTACAGGAAGGAGTATTTAAAAAAGAATATCTGTTATTCTATCGAGGGCATTGACCAGACTTGCGTAATAGCTTTTCCGTCTATAAAAACGGTTCAGGAGGTGAACAAACTGACTACATTTGTCCACCTTATGTATGTTAATTCAATTAGCAAGTACTTTACTTTTAGCACTGTACTTTTAAAGAGTTATCTGGTCGGAATGGCGATGATAACACTAATCTCGCATGGATACAGGTCATATGATTAGATTTAACTAACCTCGAGTTCTACATTTCTTTTTATATTAATATGTTACGAAGCATTTTTGTTTTATCGGAATAAAGTTTGTTGGAGTTATTAATGTGTTTCGTGATTTAAATAGTAAAAAAGTATTCCACTGTAGAATGAACAATACCACACGTCATAAGAGATATATTAAAAATAAAAGTAGGCACACTACTGCTATATAATAAATAATGATTCGGATGCGATTTATTCGAGCTTTGGAGGCTAAAAACCGTTAAAAAAAAATCTTGCACGAGTGAAAGAGATCCAGTTTTTTTAAATAAAAAAATCGATAAATGGTAACCACGTGTTCGAATCGTAAACTAAGTCGCTACAAATAAACGCCCATTGTTAGATTACACAGAATATAGTTTTGGTGACTTTTAGGCCTAATCAAAATAATCCACATTAATATTATAAACGCGAAAGTGACACTCCATGTGTTTTTGTTAAATTTTCATCTAAACCAATGAACCAATGAAATTTGGAGCTCGGATAAATGGATCTTGGGAAAGGGCTTAGCATAGTTTTTATTGCGAAAAATAAACCTAAAGAATGTAACACGGGAGAAACCGCGGGCGAGAAGATAGTCGCCTAATAAAAATATGGTGAACGCACCTGTTTAGGAGCCCAGACACCCTTGTATTCAGGGTTGTCGATCATTGGTGGTTCCCACTCGCCGTCCATCTCATCATCCCAATCTTCGGGTTTGGTGGCATCAGGGTCAGGGATGTGCTCGGGCTTGTCCCAGTCCTCTGGTTTGGTGTCATCGGGATCTGGGATGGTAGGCCTATCGTCCCAATCTTCTGGTTTCTTAGCTTCAGGGTCCTAACGATGGAGCAACAATGACATAACTTTATTGATAAAAATTATGCTTTAAAATAAATAATCGAGAAAAGTTTGAAGATATTATTTAAGACAAAGACAAGATATTCAATTTTATTTAGTGTAAGGAGAAAACAATAAATCTATTGCCAAAAACACAGATGCCATGGCGTATCATACATACTAGAGAAACTCGAGAAACGGGTGAGAGAGAAACTCGAGAAACGGGTGAGAGAGAAACCGACAGCGATATTGTATGGGCATATCTCTCAATTCATATTTAAAAAGAGTAATATAATATATGATATACCTTGATCTTCTTAGGCGGCAAGAAGTCCCAATCAGCTTCAAGTTCACCAGATTCTACTTTCTCGTTGTCAATGAGAACCTCATATGTGTTATCGGGTTTAACAATGAGTGTGTACAAGTGAGTGTACACATCATCTTTGCAGCGGATATCTTTCTTGATCAAATGGTTCTTGCCTTTGTAGCTGAAGATCACATGCACCTATACAAGAGATTGAATTGAATGATTATAAAACATTAAGAAATACTTAGATGTCTTTATCTATTAATTAATCTAAAATCAAATAATTTTTTAATGCGTTGATCGCCAGCATTTGAAATGGCAAGTGATTACCTAACGCTACATTAATATGAGATGCACCAAACACTATGAATAGCAATTGGTTGCTTAAGCTGTAGCAACCTTATTAGCATAAAATAGAATCTACCCAAATGTGTATTGACTAGATTATAAAAACATTATCAAAAGTGAATCCTCATTTAAATAATGATTTAACATATGATTATACCAAGTTTCTGATCAAGAAATCATATTTACATAATTGGATTAATATGGATAGTGCAATTGCAGTGATTAACTTCTATAGTGAAATCTATTTTATAATTGCATTTTATAAATACATACATCCTTAATATCCTAATCAAGGATTTAAGGAATGCATAAACAAAACAATAGGAAGTCTAAGTTTCACCACAAATTAGTTTTAATTATATATAAAGGTAGGTTAAGTTTACAAAAAAAAAGAAATGAAAATTATATGTTTTCAAAGTATTACATGATTATTCGGTTCAATATTAATCTTTTGTGTTCATTATCTATTAATGATAAATTAATTATACATTGCTAGTTTGAACAGCTTGAAATACTTCCATCAATGGCAAATGAGCCATTAAAATATGACCTTCAACTAATATTACCATTCATTAATCATTTATTTTAAGTTTAATAGAATATGACTGTTGGATTCAACAATATTTTTTAATGTAGCAGTATTTAATGAGATATTAAATTTATCTTTAAAGACTTGTATGTTAAATGTACTTATTTAGATAAAAATGGTTGTGTGTCTAGTATATGTGATAAAAACTTATTAATAAAGTTTTTTTTTAGTACTATATAATGTAATTTGTGTTTCATAAAATATTTTTTAAAGTTGATTTAAATAAGTACTTCTTCTAAGAAAATTAAAGCAATATTTTTCTTTCTTATGAATCCATTTAGGTCTTAAAGGACATTTTAAATTAGGATATGTTTAATGTAACAGATATTAGTTCTCAGAGAGAGAAATAAAATCATATCTATAATGATGATATTCATATCCTGATAAATTATAATAGCATATGACTGACATGAAACTCCAATGACAATGATAGGTATTATGGTATTGTAATTACCAATACAAGGTTGTTAAAACATGCAAGTTGGTAAAATAGTGATAAAAACATGTCATTTTATATTAACCCATAAAGATAAATTAATAAAGATATATTATAAACTGGTTTTACAACAGGAAAGATATGAATTTTAACCACATGGGTTTGATTTACTATTACATCATTACTATGAAATAACTTTCACTTAATCGATTCCAATTGGAATTTTATACCTAAGTATTTTATATGAAGATTATTTATTTTCAATTTAGGTTTTAAAGACATTTTCCTAATACAAGTAACTATAACAATGTACCTACATTTTACACATGTTAATTTAATGTTAGCTAGAACTTGGATCTCACCTTTTTGGTGCCTGGACCACAGATATCAGGGCCAAACATAATCTCGTAAGGAGACTCTCCATGCATATCTTTCTGATCAAGCTTGCAGTCAAACACCTTCACGTAGCCACCTCCACAGTCAATCTCCTGCTCATGTTTGACGGAGAACTGAACAACCAAGGGCTTGCCTTCATTGCTGAACGGCTTAAATTTTCGTGAGAGAGCGTAGAACCTGGCATCTTCAGAGGTCTTTAGGCCTGTGGAGATTTATAAAAAAAACTCATGATAAGTAATAGAAATAATTATATGAAAGATTAACGAATAAAAATGCTTAAAATCAGGTCTATTGGTATTTTGTAACAAGTAAATTGGTTCCCAATACAACTTTGCATTTCGAAAATTAGACAACACTACACCCACCTTTATCTTCTTCAGGATCGTTGTAGAATTTTCCGGCAGTCAACTTGAATTTGCCAAACTCTTTTCCAGGATGCTCACTGTATACCCAATTGGACTCCCATGAGTCTGGAAGGATGAAAAAAACGATTCAATGAGAAATATCCCAAAATAAACCGGCTTCTGATCTAGACAATCGATAGCACACGCGGCAAGCCGGTGGAACATGGTTCCTCATTACAAAATCAAATTTCTAAATAAGATAAAGAAACTTACCATCAGGGAACTTTTCTTCGAAATAAACTTCACAATTTATTGAATAAATTGTCAATAAACTGACAACCGCTAATACTAAGGACTTCATTTTGATTCACACAACCACCCGCGATGGCAAAGGACTGGCCACGAATAACTTCAAAAATCAGCGAATTTCCTATTATTATTTCAACCGGTTTGTTGATGTCGTAAATTTTATGTCTCTTTCATATTCTGCTAAATTCATAACGAAAAAAGAGACAGATAAAAGAGCAAGTTTCTCTTTATAATTTTTAGAGTGAGATGCATAACGTAATGACTCTAAGAATTTGAATTAGTAAAAAAGAGATGGCATATATTACGTTTAACATTTGACATATTACTACGCCAGACAGATGGAAAACTCGCATTGGTTGTTAAAGAACCAATAGAAAACGAACACACTAGCCGAAGCTAATGAACTATATGGCGCCAAAGTATAAATTTCTTAGGTAACGTTCTTATATTTTGTTAATTGATTAAGTTATACCAATAACGTTCGTGAAGTAGAGACTAATATTGTCCACAATTATATTACCAAAACAATATTCATTAATTTTTAAGTGAATAGTGTTGAAAACAGGTCTATTTAATAATGGAAAGTAAAAATGAATTTCAGTTTTCGCGCCTGTCAATATTACACCTCATCAATGGAGAGGTAAATAGTTACCTCCTATACACCAAAAAGAGATGGCACATATGATGCTACGTTTATTACGTTTTGTACGTGGATCAACAACGTGGTTGAGATTTATTCGTGCTGAAGCAAAATTGTATTTATATCGATCGACTATTAAACTATATTATTAAAAAAAATGTTTAAATAATGACGTGTACCTACCTACTCGTCACGGTTGCTTAATTAATCAACTCTTGCCCTGTTGCAAATATAAAACTACTTTCTCTTTTTTGAGACTAAAATACTAATTTAGGTCGATGGTTAGTTAGAAGTAAATAGGTATTAAATATACCTACTTGCTAGAAAAAAGTGGTGAAGTAGGGTTCTGGCGCTACATTTCATCATAGTCGAAGACTTTAACAGTGCTATTAACAAACAAGGTTTAACGTCAGTGTAAATTTACGCTAAAATTTGCAATTTTAGTATTAATCCAAATTCATATTGAAGGCAAACCCTCTAGGAGTAAATATTACTCCCGTAAAACCTCGTAAAAGGTTAACCTTTGCAGAGTCTTTGTTTAATCTTATGAATTTTGACTGATACTAAGTTCAGTCACAGCGTAAATTTACTCCAACGCCTAATCTTATAACAATAAGATAATATGAAAGAAAGAGGCTTTTGATGCGAATGTATATAATCTGTGGTAAATATATGGTGGTAATAAATTTTATGATACTTACGTCCTTTTTTTTTAATTTACGTCGAGGAAATGCATTAGGCGCTATCCCTACCGCCTGGCAAGCGACAGGGGGTGTGTGGGACTTTCCCACGTGAGCCCATCGCGGTTAACCGTACGGTCGGCATCCCACAAAAACCCCTACGGTGTACCCTTCCCTGGGGATGAGACCCGGGAAGCCGTGACCGAGTCGCCAGGACGCTTACCCCCTTTTGGGACCTTTAGTCCCCCTCACGGATGAGAGGCTCGGGTATATAGAGAACCTCTCCCATACAAGCGAGGTCTACTCTAGTATAACCACAGTTAGTTCGTATTAGAGGTGGGTGTATATGTCACGGACAAAGCGATTAATCGAGTATTATGAACAATGCCCAGAGTATGTAAACTGCCCAATATAATAGGACAATGTGATAATAATTTGTCATTTTGATGTTATTCTCTTACGTGTTTTTCATATTTATATATGAAGCTACTCTGGGCAGTTTTGGGCCTTCTTTATTCTAGTTTGAGCAACAGAATCGCTATCAATATAATGCTCACAACAAGAAATTAATAAAAAATAATAACTAGAATTGGTAAAAACTTCGCACGGTCCGATTATAATATTTATAAAACATAACTACGTAACTCCAATATTATTATTAAGCAACCGTTCTTTAATTAAGCCGCTGGCAGATCATTCATAGCCCAAAGAAGCCCATCAAACGATTTTTTTGACAAAATGACTATGGACATTTTAATGCATGATTCAATGCGTTTTGAAAGGAACCAGAGTTGAAACTTTGACGAGAGTCAACATTAGCGTTGTAGGCGAAATCTGATAGTTTCAAATGAGTGTTTCCGATAAATTCTCCGTCATTATAATTTTATTATCAGGCAGGTAATACATTGCCAGTACAAATTATACCTTGTGCCCTTGAAAAAAGATTAGATAAGCACCAAACTGTTATTATTTATGCCCATTTAGAATATTTCTTATTAAGTACACTCAGTGGACAAATCTAGTCCTTAATATGTTGGTAGTAAAGTTTTAAACTGATTTTAGAAAATAAGTAGTAAAAAACAAATGTAGCGTAAAAATATAATATGTTTATTATATTTTAAACATTAAAGAAACTATAATGTTTCATATTTACATTGATGATCGTCCACAATCAAAATATTCTTAAGACTAAAGTAAAAACATTTCTTTAAATAAAGAATAACACTTCTCATTCTATATTCAAAGTCAATACAAAGCAAATGATCGAAAATCTAAATTGAAAAATCCTCGTTAAAATCATAATCATCCTTTTTCTTATAAGTTGTTAGTGTAACGTTTTCTAAAACTCCCGCCAAACTGACAGCTTGTTTTTCGTTCCTCGCCTTTTTCTTTTTATCCTTCTTGAATTGCATTTTTCTAAGTTTATTTTGCTTAGTATTGCCTTCTATCAGCATTTCTGGATCAGACTTATCGCGTTCATTGGATTTGTTGTTTTTATCTAGTTTTGACCTTATGTTCAAAGCCTTAGGAAGTATTCCAGATTCATCTTCATCGACCTGCATGCTGTTGTCTATGGATACAGGACCCGTGCTGTTTATCTGTGGAAATAAAAAAAAATGAGTTGAGATGAATGTCAAGTTTAAATTTAGAAGTATAAAATAAGGAATACAATGACTATTTAAATTAAATGATTGACGGGTTAATAGCATGTTATCGTTACGACCTTACTATGTACATAGAATATTAATATGTAGTTTTTTTTTGCTTTCAGAATGTTCAAGTTAATTCTTTTGTCTTTTTAATGCCTTTATTAATTTGTGATTACAAAGCAAAATTAATAATGGTTACTTTGCTAAAGAAATCACTTCATTTCACTACAATAATTATATAAAATAATGGCTAGTTTATACGTAATTAAGTAGATTCTGATTTTAAATTAAATTAAACTTATAAGTATATTTTGATTTATTACGACTTACGACTTATTAATGTGTTTACAAGTACTTAATCATTTAAAATTATATCAAAAATATACCTGCTACTTATCTATACTTAATACGGGTGTAGACAGTAAATAAAAATAAACATATATTATTGTTTTTTTTTTCTGGTAGTGTATATACTATTATCGATAATCACACTATTATGTTTATTATATTTATAATATTGCTTAAATTAATTATGAAAAACTAACATATTAAACTCGTTGTCACGTGACCGCAAACAGTGCGTGACGTCACGTCTCTTATTGGTTTTAGAGGGCCGTGACGTCATAGCGACGCCATGTCAGAAGTTGTCGTTTTCACGGGATATTTTGAGCTTAATTTATTTTTAGATTTTAAACTTATTGAACGCATGATACTTTTTTAAATATATTTTTAGATATTTCAACTACATCTATAAAAAAAAATATATAAAAAAGTTGTCTACACCCTTATTACGTGTAGGTAAACCAGTCATAATTGGTAAGGCATCCACGTTAAATTATAATTGAATTCCTAATTACGAAAGTTATGCCCACCCCTTCTTATTCGAGGTGTTATAATTTTTAAGATATCGGAAATATAAATTACGACCGCTTAAAACCGGGGGGTGTCGCTAGTTAAATACACTTGACTCCAGCTGACTCAACAACACTAAAAGTCATCAGATTGGATGAAATATAATAAAGTTTACAACACGAGTTTTTTCGCTTGACATAAAATGTTTGACAACCTTATTTGAATGACAAATGCGCAATAGACGTCTTTAGTTGACAGGTAAGAAAAAAATTATGGCAATAGAAAGGAGCTGTTATTTATAATTCTTTCTCTCCTAGTGAATCTCAACTCTAACACTCGTATCTATAGTAAGAATTGATAACTTAAGAAAATATCATAACTAATGCAAATATTTTTAATTAATATACGTCAATTTAAATGGAGTAAGAACTGTCAATAACTAATTAAAATAGTTTTCTAACTTTTGGCAGTTTTTACTTCATTCAAATTCTTGTTTATTAAAGCATTTTCTCAAGTAATTTCTGTAGGCTACAGATATGAGTGAAAGAATATATAGATTTTTTAAGTAAATTGTAAAATGTAAAATGGTCGACGAACTGTGACATTAGGACAATATTTAATAGAATTAGACAATGGGGGGGGGGGGGGGGGTTTAAAAGTCATGAATTTTGTGTGACGTAATTTATGGACGACGACGACGAATTTATGATGGCCCCTTTCTCCAAAGATCAATAAAAGACATGTCAAAGTAGTAAAATGAAACTAAATATCGTCATAAGCAGCGAATAGCTAAGATGTCGTACTCTAAGGACACTTTATTATCACAGTTGAAATTTTCACACATGCTGTATTTCATGTATGCCGGTTGCAACAACAAATACTAAAAACCAGGATAAAATAAATATATAAGGGAGCTCACATACCTACAACAAACTCGACTTTGTTTGCTCGTTACCGGTACGGAAGTCTACGTGCGAGAGTGAGACTCGCCCTCTGTCCGGTTTTAATTATTTAAGCAGAGTGCTTGGTGTATATACCTTCATGGGTTCCATAGATGTTCCGTGTGATGCGAGCAGATTGATGGCGTCAGTCTCCATGCTCTCGAACGAGTTGATGTCGAACTCCTGCGCCGCCGCGCTCACTATCTTCGCGTCCACGTGGATCTCTGCATCGGACGATTGTGGAGGTTCTGTGTAGTATCTCACCTGATAAAGTCAATTTCATATAATATTATAACAATTTTCAGTATTAACCGCGTTAGTACACCGACGCAATCGCATTCGAATGCGAAACATTTGCGAAATCTTGTCATGTTTTTTGTCTTGCTCTAATGTTAGCTCGATGAAATAGCTGCGTCCTTGTCGGTACGGTTTCGCAGTCGATTGCGTTTCGCATTCAGGGTTACCACCTGTCCCGATTTCTGATGGCTATCCGAATGTCACGAAATTTGTTTCTCAAAAGGTGTCCAAAGTTGGGCGGTCCAGTGTATTAAATAAGGCGAACTTTTAATGAAAATAATTAATATACTAGGAAGAGGTGAGTATGTGAGTTATATAATTCACATACAGTGGACCCCCGGTCCCGGTGATCCGACAAACGTTTTGCAGGGCAGTGCCGGTCTATCGAATTTGTCGGATTATAGAGTACTGCCTAAGACCCCCTATAGTTCGGATTTTTTTAACAAAGGAGTACCTTGTAATTCGACAAATTACAGATCAGTGATAAGAATCTATATGTTATAAGTACTCTGAACTACAAATTATACTTCATTATGTATGTCGAATCTAGTAGGTAAATTAAACAACATAATATAGAGCTTACGTATTAATATAATGTAAAATTAATGTTATTAATGTTAGAACTTACAAAAAATAATAACTTTGCATTAGGAAATAATTGTGTACAAACAAATGTACTTACGTAGGTACTTAAATAATTTGAAATTATGAATAAAAATTGAATCAATTAATTTTAGAAGCATGAAAATATTCATCAATTTTTTTTGTTTAACATTATTGAAACGCGAGACCAAAGCTTTGTCTCGCAATGCAAACTAAACAATCCGAATGAAAACAAAACCTATGTACGCGTCAAGCGCAATAATGGTGGCGCGCACAAGTTGTGACCTGTTCAATCATGCATTACGTATCTACTTACGTATAATCCAAAAAATATTCGGACATGTCGGATTACAGGGGGCGCCGGATTAGACAAGGGCCGGATTACTGGGGGTCCACTGTACTACAGTGGCAGCTCTGCTTGTATTCCTATAGTTTCGCAGTTGTTTCGCGAATGCGTCGGTGTACAAACGGCGTAATATGCCGATAATTAAGTTTTAAATTGAACAAAAAATTTAGCTCTTGAAGCTATCCGATGTGCAGCTGTGTGTACAAAAATGCCTAAAAAGCTAATTACTTGTATACTGGTGCCAAAAACTAAATACATACATGTAAACCAGCCCCAAGCGGTAAGGCATCTACGTCAAACTATAATTGAATTCTTAATTTACGAGAATAATGTCCATCGCTTCTTGGTTTAAGTGTGATATTTTTTAAGAGATATCGGCAATAATCTTACATATGAAATTCCACTCTGCGCAAAACCGGGGCGCCTCGCTAGCAAATACACTTAACACTAGCTGACTCAATGATGTACTTATTTATTTCATTTTCAAACTTAAATAGAAATACTAAAGCAATTTAAGGCTTTCCTAGCCGACACACTTTCCAGATGAATCTACTTTATTGTGACCGCAAATAAAAAAAGCTATCTTTTTTTTTATTTGCGGTCACAATATAGTAAAAACTCATATAATTATACGAAATAAATAGAAAGAAAACTATGTTAAAACATTAATAAGTGTTCAACTTTTTTTACTGGCTATTTCTAAAATAATACTAAATTGTCTAAACTTTTACAAGAAAGTTCCTGAAAATATGTACACGGAAAATTAAACGCAGAAATACATTACTTTTCCCGTGTTCCAGTCGTTGAGAAGAATTCTAGCTGCTGCTTCCTGATCTGGTACACCGCCTTTCTTGAATCTGCCCATACGAGATGCTAGACTAGCGAAGAATTCCTAAAACAGACAATTACAAAGAATGGGTAATCTGTTGATTTCGAACCATAATGCATTGGAAATAGATTCCAAAATTATATGCACATGGTTATTTATTTAAAAGTACTGGCAAATTTAGTGACAATAACAAAAATATAAACATACTCATTCATTTATTAAATTTTGTTTTAGCTTTGAGGTTTCATAGTGAGTAATTGCTTTTATTCGACTCTAACACGAAATTCATATTACGTAGGCGGGATGATAAATTCTCCTTAGTATGTTAGTCATTGGTTAATTAGCTGCCAGTGTTCCAAATTTCAAACCGATCGTTTAGTTTTTCTTTTAAATATTGACATTTCAAAAAGCATTCTTTTGTTTTTTCTGCAAAATGGATAAAATTGAACTACGAGCTGTGATAAAGTTTCTGCATTTAAAAGGATTAAAAGGTGGAGAGATTTTTTCGGAGATGAAGGATGTTTTGGGGGAAAATGCTCCTTCATATGCGACCATAAAAAATTGGGTGTTTGAATTTAAACGTGGGCTGGTACGGCCACGTTTAAATTCAGCCACCCAACACACCCTAGATGAACATCGTCCAAGACGTCCAAAAAGTGCCACTACTCTAGAAATTGTGATTAAAATTCACGATGCAGTTTTAGCTGACCGAAGATTGAAACTTTTCGAGATAGCTGATAATGTAGGGCGCATTACATTTTTAAAAAATCACTTTTGGCGTGACAAATATTTTAAGGGGCTCCTATAGCCCCTTAAAATATTTGTTTTATCTTTAGTATTTATTTTTAAAGTTACTATAAAAATACATATTATAATACCCAGTCTATCAGCCCGTTGCACAAACGTTCATTAATATTTTCATTAGTTTAAAGCGACATTACCCATACAAATTCGACATTCATTACAGCTTAAAGGCGTCATTAAACCTTAACGGACGTTTGTGAAACAGACGGATTGTATTAATTAAAGTCATTTAATCACTAAGAGTTGCTCACAAAACATTTAAAACAATTATAAAACAAAATATGTATGCGTTACCACGAACGAACCCGAGTCTGTTTTTGGACTGTCTCGTTTGCAGATTCCTTATCGTCGAGTAAGTCAGCGACGAGGAATGTAGGGATGGCTTCTCGGTACCCATCAACAGGAACTCGGTAATGACAATGAGCACGATATATTTATAAGATCACTTTACAATCTTATATATGTCGCATCATCATTACGAAGATCGTTTGATTTAGTTTATTTTATTTTAATTGCTAGTTACTCGATTACTTAATTACTCGATTGTAAAGAGAGCGTGATCATCGATACTTTTAATTTTACTAGAATGGTGACACTGACTTTGACAGTTCGTTTATAAAAACCAAGTTGCCGCCATTTTGGCACACATTCTGTTTCCATCATCAGATGACATCACGCTCATCTCGTTATAATCACGCTCATCTCGTTATATTTTCGTAAGAAAAGTGATAAAATGGCACAAATCCACGTTGGTATACACGCCTGCAGTGTTATTTTAAAAGATAGTCCTCCGATATGGACTATCTATTTGGGCTGCGTAATAGCCAATTCGGACTACCCGCCGTTATATATATAAAAAATTTGTGTCACGATGTATGTTGCCAATAAACTCCAAAACTACTGAACCGATTTCAATCAAATTTCACATGTACCCGTATTTTGGTCTAACTTACTGGATAGGATAGTTAACATCTCAATTATTCGCTTATATCGTGATTGTAAACTAATAAAATGTACTAATTAATTGTTTCTTAAGCAAGTGTTTATTTTAGCGGAAGGGTTTTATTTCCTCAGTTGCGATTAGAGAAATAAAATATGGCGGTACGAAGTTCGCCGGGTCAGCTAATATTCTATAAATATTTCAAGCAACTACTTGTAGTCGTTATCAATATAGAGCAAAAACAATAAAAAAAAAAAAAACACGTTTGTTGTATGAGAGCCGCTTTCAATATTTATTTTATTCTGGTTTTTGATGAAGTGGCAATAGAACTACATCCTCTGTGAAAATCTCAGCTATCTAACAACCGCGATTCTTGAGATACAGTCTGGCAGACAAACAGACAGATAGTGAAGTCAGACAGACAGCGAAGTCCCATCAATAGGTTTCTCATATCTCAACCTATGTTACTTCTCTATGGTTCCCGTTTTACTTGTTTTACTCTTTGGATACGGAACTATTAAAAAAGAAACAAAAATAGGTTGAGTGAGTACATACTAGGTAAATTATCATCGTCAGGGGCCGTCTATAAATTACATCACACAAAATTCATGATTTTAACCCCCCCCCCCCCTCATGTAACATGTTTGTCTATACAAATTCTACTAAATATTGTTCTAATGTCACAGTTCGTTGACCCCCCCCCCCCCTCCTAACGTGTGACGTAATTTATGGATGGCCCCTCAGCAGTTTTCAAACCAACCTGCGGCGTATTAAATTCTGGTACGGCATACAAATCGATGAGTGTCTGCTTGTTCGCTCGCTGTAGTATGGCCGAGGCGGGGGTGATTGGATCCTTGAGGCTGCCCACGCGGATCGCGTTCTTTAGGGCGACGGACGCGTCAGAATCGGAGCCCGAATGGAAAACAATGCCGGGACTATCCAGAATTTTTATTTTGGAATCCAGCTGGACTGTTTGCATTTGTCTGTAAATAAATGAATAGGATCAGGGGTCTTGTTGTCTAATTTAAAAAAAAAATCACAATCACTTTCTACTTGATAGAATTATTTGATATGGGAGAGCGATTGCGGCCGCCTTTTTTTTTTTAAAGATATTGAATGAACGATATAGGTAATTTAACTTTAGTTGGAATCGTTTAAAGCAAAGGCGTAAATATTACTTTAAGTTGCTTACTTTCTATTATGTCTCTTGATCATTTAATTCGTCATTTGTTTCGAAAGTTACTGCGACTTTAAGCGTTACATTATTCCAAAAATCTATCATTATAACTTTACCTTTGAAAGGAATTGTAATAGATTATGAAATTAGACCATTTATTTCGCAAATCATAATAATGCTCTTCTTTTTTAATAATTGATATTAATTTTAAAAGGTTTAAGGTTTTATTATTTGTATATTTTGCAGTTATTTTATTTGTTAAGGCTCTTTAGATAGACAAAGATGTTTGTTTTATAAAAAAATATGTACGCGTCACTGTATAACCAGCCTTAGTTTTGCGACCATAGAACTCCAAATCATCAGTGTCTAATTAGAATATCCAAACTAATATTAAATGTGTTTAAAATCACACAAGTTTAAAAAATAAACACTTTGAAAACATTAGTTATTTTAATTTAATAATTAACTTACTTTGTTACACCGGGAGTACTTCCCACATTACAAGCCTTAGATCTGTTAAGACTGTTGATAATAGAACTCTTGCCGACATTAGGTAAACCAACCACTCCCACTGTTATGGAAGTCTTAATACCCTTGTTGCGACAGTAGTTGCCTAAAAGGCTCATCAGCAACTCTGCACCTACACAAGCTGAACCTGAAAATAATATATTGATTGTTGAATACTAAATCACATTCATATTGTTAATTTAATGATATTTTTGTACATTATTTTTATTAAATAAAATTATTGGAAACTGTCAAAACACAAGGCTTCCGCCAGCGGCTTGGTCTGTTTGAGGAAAGTCCTCAGGAAACTGTTAAGGGAGATAAAAAGTGGCCCATATGTTAATGCAGGCTTAGCATTTAATTTGAATAAGGTTACATACAATGACATATTTTTGGCAATAACATTTTGCTATTCAAACAATAGTTACTATGGTAACATTTTAATTCCTTATATAAACTTCCACTCCCATTTTCACCTATATCTTTGCTGTTTTTTTTTTTGAGATAAAATATAGCCTTTGTCAACTGCATATGTAGTAGCTTCTCATATGTTATTTTATTTTAATCAGTTCAGTAGTTTCAGGGCCTATTCAATGCAAATAAACAATCAAATCATTCCTCTTAAAATTTTTGTATAGATAATTTGACGTAATTTAATTGTTAACTTTGCATAATCAAATCATTCCTCTTAAAATTTTTGGATAGATAAATTAACCCAATGTAATTGTTAACTCTTCATTCACAATACTATATTGATACAGCATAAAATAATAGTTATTAGTCTTTTTCTTGGTATATATTCGCTGGTTTACCTTTCATTTCTTTTTCCTTAACTATATGTTTCATTTTCTTCCTGCCTAAGTTATGTTGCTGATCCTGAGTAGATGCCTTGAAAGGTACTGCTGGAGCAGAACGACGCAAATATTTCAGCCACGTCGTAAGGTTATCACGAGGTACCAAATCAGCTTTATTCAGAACAAGGACAAGACGTTTCCCAGCTTCTCTTACTGCCTCTTCTACTTGCACACATCTAGTTCCTTGAATGGGAAATATCAAAATTTTATGAATAATCTCTCTATGTGAATTAATTATATTTGAAAGTATGCTTTGTGGAAACCAAGTAAATATTGAGAGCACACAAAAATATTGATGATATTTCAGCAAATGATAGAAGTTAAAGTAAAATATCTATGTAATTCATTATTATTAATTAATACATATAAAAGTATTTTAGGGCTATATGTGAGTAATTAGTACACAAAAGGGCAGGTACAAAATTATTTTGATAATTGCTGTTATTAACAATAAAATAGTGGTTGAAAAAACTCTAAAAAAAGTTACTACTAAGATTAATCAGATATCGACATTATTTTGTAAAACAAGTGATAAAATAGTGAACCATTATAATTGAAGATGACTTCACACTTATGAAAACTTTTTTCATTGTGTTATCTGTATGAACCGGAGTAGCAAGAGTCAATTTCTTTGCTAGTTCTCATCATAAGTTCACCTGCTTTTGTATTTATGAATTGCTGTTGTTACTTTCTAACAAAAGTTCTTGTTAACACTTATATAGCGGTGTCACTGAACAGAAAGAATTTTGTATGTTGATTTTCATGCCTACTGATAGATATGGTAAACTTTTTATGTCCACTTTACTAAGACAAAATTGGCTAGATGCACCTGTGCGAGTAGAATAGTAATATTTTTGCACACAAGTGAAAGAGCTATGTAGTACTGGGTCAATATACGAAATTCTCCCTGTTCAGCAACTGTGCTATACAAAGAATATTGTTAAAAATAATTCAGCTAACATAAAATAATATTTATAAAATACGAACCCAATGGATCCCTGGCATCTACAATTTCTAAAATCACTTCTGCTTCGGATATAACTTTTTTGAATTCTCTGTGATAGGATTTAAGTGAATTCTCTTGTTTTCTATTCTTTCCAAATTCTACATCATCATTTCCATTGTCAGTGCTTTGGAAAGCATCATGTACTTTGCCTCTTGCTTCTGCATTGGCTACCTAAAAACAAAAATAATTAAATTTAATAAAATTGAGACTTACTTTTTATTATATTGTCGTAATGGTTTATTGTCCATATTTACTAAACCAAAAATAGCAGTAAAATAAATCAAATACCAGCTTTACACCAGTGGCTTCGTTGGCGTGGTTTTTAGGGAACTGTTTATTTGGATATAGATAACATGAATATAATTACAATGACAAATTAAATAATTAAATTAAATTAATGTTTTAATTTCCTATACAAACTTCCAGTCCCATTTTCATCCCTTTATTTGCTGTTTTTTGACATAAAATATAGCCTATGTTCACCGCATATGCAGTAGCTTCACGTGGTGAAATTTGAATTTTTAAAATCTGTCTAGTAGTTTTGTTGTAAACAAACAAACAAATCTTTTGTCTTTATAATATTAGTATGGAATAATATCAGTTTTTCAGTTGAGAAACTGGTTATAAGAAGATTTATGACATCTTTGACTCAGAATTGAAGAATTTTATATTATATTTCTTTTATCAAGTGTTCACAGCAAATACATGTTGGCAGCATAATCGTACTGCAGCTTCACATAATGATTTCATGCATTCAAAGTTTTGGTATTGTATGTACTAGATCAAAAATTTACTTGCTATACTACATTTCTTTTGTTTTAATTTTATTTAAGATTACAGATTAGTTGTTTGTTTTCCTCTGTTCATATATCACAACTGTGCTGTAATATTTTTTCATCATAAATTTAAAACCTCCACAAAAATAGGTATGTTATGTTCACATCGTAAAATTACTCTATAATAATGCATTTTCCTGTTGTGTGGGTCAATTCTCTTATAACTTTTTCACCAATTACCAACATTAGCAATGAGTTAGGAATCAACTCATTTTATAATAATAGCAATAATACCAACAATTTAAGTTGATCTATTAGGAAATATTAAAATCATTCAAAAACACCTATGTATTTCTAACAATTCCATTTTGAAAGTACGCAGAGTGACTAATGAAAATTAGAACCAAAACAAAAAGACTTATTAAACATTACCAAGCTGTCCATACTGGTTTTACTGTTTTTCTTCTCTTCCATTTTTTTCTGTCTTTCCAGTTTAGCTATTTCCTTTCTCTTCTGTCTTTCTTCTTCCTTGTGCTTTTTAACAGCTTCAACTTCTTTTAATATGTCTTCTTTAAAAGGACATACATTGGGAACCACTAATGCCTTAGGTTTCTTTGATTTTGGATTTTTCTTGGCTTCTTTTTTAAGCTTTCTGTTATGATCTCTGACTTTTTTCTCTATTTTGTAACGAAGTCTCGCCGGTTGTCTTTTTGACGGCTTTTCTAAATAAAAATTAAGTATTATCAATGCGCAAATCAAAATACTCAAATATAAAGTAAAAAAAGAAATAGAAATGTATCTATTTGTAAAATACAGAGCGATACATAGAACATTTAATCAAATTTTAAATTAAGTATGTAATATCTTAGATTATTTATTGTAATACAATATCATAAATGTGATTAATTCTAACCTATAAAAAATAAAAAGCATTACCAATAGCAATAATACTTACTTAGTTTGAATTTCGCCATTTTTGTGAACTTTAGGAAAAGTAATTTACGTAAATTGCAACAATTAAGTAATGGCAGAAATATTAAAATCAGAAAAAAGACTTGGTATTTCTTTCAGACACCGTGAACGCCGTTTGACGATTTGTTTTTGTCAAAAATGTAAACGTCAATGTCATAAACATGTGCTTTTAATATTTTTATAGCTTTGATACAAGGCAAAGGTTTTTTTTTCTTTTACAGCCATATATTCCATAATGATATTTATAATCACTTTTTATTAAATATTATATAATTTAGGTAGATATTATATAATCAGAAGTTAGTTAAAGATATAATTGTTTCATGAATTAGTGATGGATGAGAAATAAAAGGCTAGATAACTTTTCTATGAGTGAAATTGTGAAGTTCTTCTGACTGTGGAGAAGAATGAGTACAAGAAATTCAACGAAGTCTGAACACAACCAAATAAAACTAATAATATCGAGTTCGATATATATCGGTTACAGTCGATATTGATTTATCGATATATTTTTGGGTCTTCAGTAAATTCAAAAACCTTATTTGTTAAAACCTTATTTAAACCTTACCTTACCTTATTTAAATAAAATACGTTTATTTAAATAAGGTGGCTACTAACCTTGCTCCTAGTTCGTGTAATCTTGGATCCTGCACGCTTAGCATGACGGACTCGAGAGGGTTTTATTTACACCTAAATATGACCTTTCCTCTTTTCCTTTTTCTTGGTGCTCTCATATGATATCTCCCTCTTGACTCAAGAAACGTGATGTTTGGGGTAAACAACGCAAGTTGGTTTTCGATATTTATATATTTCGATAGTTTTCGGCGAAATTTATCGATATATAAATATAGATTTTCCGATATATCGTTGCATCCTTATACATTACATATTATCATAATTATCCGAAAAAAAGAATAGAAATCTTCGATCAACAATACAGCAGAAGTAACAGTATGTCTGCGATTAATATTTACGGAGATGTGGTGCTACGTTTGTGGAACTGCTGCTATAAGTATAATCGGCCGAAAGCGTTCCCAACAAATTCGTTCGTTCCCAACGTTGCGTATGGGTATTCTTTGTTATTTATGCGTTTATATTTATATTATCATCATCATCATCATCATCAATGGCGTAACTATACCGTTACAAATTCAAAAATTTGAGATTTAAGGCCCGTTACAAATTCATCGGATATTAATTTTTTTTTACTAATTGCGTTATAATAAATGTCAGGAGTAAAGAGTCTCCTTTAACCGGGGGCCTGTAGCATTTTGCCGACTTGCCACCCTGTAGTTACGCCACTGATCATCATCACAGCCTTTTACATTGTCCGTCCTCGAATATAGGCCTCCTTCAAAATCTCCACTTCTGTCTATCTCTTGCCAACGGCAGTGCGTGCAACGTCATCAACTAGGGTTGCCAACCGTATTATAATATATATTGTACCGTACTATATTAAGTATTCTACTATATTTTAGGCCTGCGTAATAAACGTATATTGATCGAAAAAATATATAGTTTGCAAAAATACTACATTTGAAATACCGAAATCTAACAAATAAATTATTTGTTCATGAAGGAATCTAATACATTAACTTTTGATTTTAGCTTCATCTTAGACAGATAGCGTAAATGTTGTTATTTCTGTAAAGAGCTGGTGAGTAGGTACTTTTCACTCGTTCTTCTTTTCAGCCAAAAGACGTCCTGAACGGGTGGTAGAAAAAAAAATAGAATGATTCAAAAGTGCTTTCACTAAACTTGTTTGAATAAAATATAATATCATTTTATTTTATAGCGTGCATATCGCAATGCATTTGTCTTTTTATGTTCGGTTCCTGGTTAATTGAATATGTGTTTAGGTACTATATATCTTTCTGGAGTGTATTTATATTTCAATAGCTTATTTTTGAAAAAACTATATTTTACGACTTCTGCCTTTAATGCTTCCCCATGGTTTCCATTCCAATACTCTCCCGGTCCACCTTTCCTGATTTACTTTGTTTCGTCCACTGGGGCAGGCGAAAGCTTGTTGGGATTAGGGCTTCCAATCCCAGAATATCGAGATCTCGGTATTGAGGGATCCCGCGTCTTTTAACAATCCCGCGTGATGCGGGATTACGGGCGCGGGATCCACGCTATTTGCGGGACTGAAAAAAAGCGTGCAGTTTGCGTGGAAACCTTATAAAAGAAAATAAAGGAATTTGACCTTGATTTAGACAAAGATGTTGTTGCAATTACAACTGACGGAGCTTCGGTCATGGTTAAAACCGGTAGTTTGATTCCAACATTTCAACAACTGTGCTATGCCATGCCATGGGTTGCAACTTGGAATATAAAAACGTTTTTTATAAAAAAAAGAAAAAGTGACCATGATCCGCTCTAAAATACGCAGTAGTTTGACAGACGATAGTATAAATATGTTGTGTTTCCTTCGCAAACATTTTCAATTGAAAGCTTTACCTGACAAACTAAATAATTAAAATAACGTATATCAATTTCAGTTGAAAATATGTTTTTTTTTTAGTTGATTATTTTTAATTTTGTTGTGTATTTTTGAGGAGATAGATTTTTTGTTTTTTTCTGTAATTGTTACTGTTTTTTGTAAAGAATAAACGACAGTTTAATTTGATTGATCTCATACTAATAGTAATTAATACTTAAATAAATGTAGAGTTAGTTGATTAATTTATTGTTTTTTTTTGCATTATATAAATATGAATATTTTCAATATGCGGGATCCCGCAAATACCGAGATCTCGCGAGATTGAAAATTCGTAGTCCCGCAAATACCGAGATTGAATTGAGGCTGCGGGATTGGAATAGCATTTACTTGAAGAAGTCACTTTTGAGATAAGTACCTATTATATTTCACTTTTTTTAAATTTTGAAGTCAGTTCTATTTTTTACACTTTAAGCTTTCTTTTTAATCTTCACTGTTCATAGACATTGGTGTCGTTATCATGTTGGAGATAAGTACTTTTTTTAGAAAAAATATAGAATTGCCAAAAAACTTAGAACAAACATTAATATTTCTAATGTTGGTAATATATCTAGTCCTGCAAGTTTATTGGTGTTTTACAAACCATGCACATCAGATTACCACTACCTGTATAATGAATTATGACATGATTTAAAATCGAACCTTTTGTTTAAACCGACGTGCTAGTGAATGTGGTGCAATCACTTAAATTTGTCTTGCTATTAATGTATGTAACTAAAATAAAAAATAACACCTATCCTGTATTTATTTACGTATTATTGTATCTAATTAGGTTTTTTATATATCTCTATTCTTATGTATTAGTAACTGTTTTCCCACAACTTCAGCGCTTATATTATACCCGTATCACCCACATATGATGTAGCCAAGACCGAGGTAAAAAGAAATTAAAATAGGTCCTATAGTTTCGGGGCCTACATATTCAATGAAAACAAACAATTAAAATTTTCCATATTATTAGTATAGAAAACGGAAACTTCTTTCGATGCTCGTTATAAACTTGAAAATTATAGAAATCCAGAACAAAAGAGGTTCATGTTAAATGTTCGGATAATATGTACCATTTTATCTTATAAATATTTAAGAAAATAATTTTTATTGTACTTTAAAGAGTTACTTGAAAACTTGAAAGAGTATGGAATATAGATTAGAAAAATTTGATGAAAACTTAGTTGCATAAAACGTAACAACTATAAATATAATAATGTGTCCTGTATCCTGCCAGTTTTATCATAAGGAATACTGAAACTTATAAAACTGTAATAGAAAAGTCTGCCAAGAAACTACAGCCATGGAGAGAGTTATGCTCGGAATAAAACTTTTGGACCGAGAAGAAAATGAGTAGATCTAAAGCAAGACTCGTGTTAGAGATGTTGTTATTACTGTGAAAGAAATAAAAAGATGGGCTGGTCACTTAGCCAAAATGAATCAGGAAAGGTGGACCAGGAGAATACTGAAATGGGGTCTCCGTGGGGGAGCACCACAGAATACGGAAAAGAGGTGGTTTTGTGGGTTCTGTGTGTTCTGTTCTGTGGTTCTGTCGGAAGGCAGAGGCCGTCCCCCGGTGAGATGGGTTACGATAGGGTTGCCAACACTTCTGAGGCGTACCCCCAACCCGAGTGGGACCTGCCCTTTTCAGGGCGGACCGAAATGGGGGCGAACCGCACGGTGTATGGCCTCCGGGCCGATCCCGTGCATCGCCTTCCATGCGAGGGACATCGCTGAGTTTTAGTGGGTAAACTCCTGTTTCTTGTCTAGCCCCTTCGGGGGTGGGGCCACAGGAGGAGTCCCACATCACCGTGGAGCCGTGGAGCCCGCGCAGGGTGAAGCGGGTATGCGTAACGCATTTCTCAGCGTCAAAAAAAAAAAAAAAGGTTTGCCAACACTTCTTCAGCAAAATATAGTATGTTCAAATATAAACTATTTAAATATAGTACATTTCAAAAAATACATAGTACATAGACACTTATTTAATTAAACAGGAACCGAACATATACTTAATGTATTAGATACCTTCATAAACAAAGATTTATTTGTTCAATTTTAGTATTGAAAATGTTGTAGTTTTGCGTATTATATATTTTTCCAATAATATATAGTACGTCTCTTTTACCCGAACCTTAACTTACTTAAACTTTTACCTTGCTAGAAGCTTGAGGGAATTTATTATTTATATCGATTTAAATCTTAAAACATTTGGAGTTGAATTTTGAAAATGATTTCTCATGTGCTAGTGCGTATACAGCACGCCAGGCTATCCAAAACAGTCAAATTTCTCCAATTGATTTTAAACCTTGCATAAGAAATTCTATACAGAGATCAAAATAAATTCAAGAAGATTGACATGCAGCCATGACTTCATGTTAGAAGTTCTTCGAACCGTTTTCTTCATTCAGTCCACTCAGATTGTATTTTTTTTACTCGAACCTCCACAAAGTTTTACCTTCTAGTTATGTTCTATATCGATTTTGAATTAGGTACTTAAAACGTTTGAAGTAGAATTTAAAATCGATTTCGGAAAAAATACTTTGTGGAAATTTTATGTGCACGCAACAGTGTACATACATATCAAAGTTCTTAGGACTGAAGTAACCGAAATTATAATAGAAGCCCTTAGACTTCCCGATGTCCGTACGAGGTACCTAATAGCACTCTTAACAGAAGTTTCGTAAACTTGGATAGAAGTTGTAACCTTAATAACATTAATAACTAAGACAGAATCATTTAATATTGTAAATAAAGCCATGAATGTTCAAATAAAGCTTTATTATTGTCTGTAATTGTTGGTTGACCGTTGACAATACACTTACTTATTAAACCAAGCACGTCGCTATTCATTCAGAGCGCATTTCTTGAATGAACCTCCTTGCGAGGTCAAAGCAGGCGTCTACCTAACAACGATACGATCACCATATGACGCGCTTTGTTCGTGGCAGCAGCTGCACCGAATCGCAAAACGGTCGTTTGTACCTGAACAGGTAACAGAAGCAACAGGTCATTTCTCCGACGCGGGGAGCGCCGCTATCGGCCCTGCCGGCGCGCGGGGCTTCGCTCGTTACGAGCGGCTCGTCAGTCGTGTTTTGCCCGCAGTATACTGCATACGTGATTGTCGCGCGCGCCCCTCATGTTACACGAGACTGTTCCGCGAACAATAACTTCGTAACGCCGAGTGATGTGCGCAAACGCACGATTTGATAATTCTTTCGTTGGTCGTTACTTGTGACAGAGCAAATGTCTCCCAGTCTAGAAGGGATCATGTTCAACAGGAACGCAAACCTGTCCGCGCGCCGCCCTTTGTTGGCGGAACCGCAAAAGCCTCTAATGGTACCGCCGCGTGCGCCTCCCCGCGACACTAGCATTCAACGACCCGTACCAGCCCCCAGGAACATACCTCCGGATTATCCATACGAATACCGACCAGATTACTTTAAGCCGTCGAATATCGAACTCGAGAAACGACTGCAGGAGGCACGGGCCCGTGAGAAAGTTGGCTACTTTCAAGACAAAGTAGCGCCGCCGGAGCTGAGCTTGGACCGGAGAGAAGCTGAACTAGTTTTTAGGTTCGATCCTCATGCTTCGTCTGAGTATTTGTCGAATCAGTACCGTGCTCCTGTCGTACATTATGCGAAACCACCGACGCCGGCCAATGGAGTATCAAACCGTCTCCAAGAGCGAGACGGACCATTTGTGTTCGGCGTTCACAGTCCTAGCCAATTCCCAAAGCGAAGAGATGAAGACGATTACGATTACTCGGAGGTTACTACAGAAGAAACTATTAGAACTGCGATTCGAGACGATGTGTCTGAAGACTTAAATTGTTGTGATAGAGTGAACGAGTGGACAATACGCGACAAGAAAACGAGGAGAACTTTGAATAGGATGTTCCAAATAAAAGATAGAAGAAAGGTGAAAGGTGGCAAGAAAGATAAGATAAAGTGTGTGTTGGTGGGTGACGGGGCAGTGGGTAAAAGCTCATTGATCGCAGCATATGCTCAGGACACCTTCCGAGAGGAATATGTGCCCACAGCATACGACACATTCAATGGTAAGCATATTAAAAAAATATAAATAATACCAATTTAACTTTACAGAGATTTAGAAATCCAATCGAAAAGCAGATAATAATTACCCGCTTTGAATGGAAGTTAAATAGATAAAATACTAGAAGAATAATACTCAACTTTTTTTATTTGATCAGGTACAGAAAACATCCTAAAATCTTTTTATGATTCTGTTACTGTCACTCACACACTATTGTTCGCAGTTGCACCTTTTACGAGCTGCACAAAAAATATTAAAGTAATGGAATAGCTCGTATAATTATTCTAAGAAAGAAGATACATAATTACAAATAGCTGATTTACCTTTTTTCAATATCAAATAACATTGAATGCACACGATAGATAAAAACGTGGTGTTTTAAACACATAGGTAGGTAAGATAGTTAATTGACAAAATTGTAATTTCTTTATCAGGACCGACCCTGATTTGATGGATAATAAGCGGATTGCGACATCATCATTAAGTGTGATAACGCGCTAGTAATAATGGAACTTTATCGTTATGTAGGCGCCATATCTATTTATCCATAAAATATATCTTTAACTAATCATTGATGATCAAGTTGAATTCATAAAATGGATATACCTATCGATGTCCTGAGTTTTATGTTTTAAAAAAGGGAATTGCACAAGCGATATTAAATTATAACCCCTTGTTATGATTGATTGTAGGTTGCCATTGGTATAAAAACCAATTGAAGATATCACCTAAAATAAATAAAAATATTACATTCCTATTAAAGTATGAAGAAGCTACTTAGTTCATAAGAGTAACATTATTGACGAAAGTCCACAATACTCGCACGATAGATAAGTTTTAAAAAAGTTATAAAATAAACAACTTTATGAGTGTAAAAAGGATGCAATGACGTAGTTATGGTCCTTTCGAACCTCTCATTACCGGTTAATTTACAATCGTACAGATAAATACATTGAATATAAAATGTTCCACTGTAGGAGTCAACGACACGTCCCAGACATTTCTTTGGCCTTATCAACAAAAGAAACTTGTTTTAAACACACGTAACAATAACCCGGTGGTCGGTTACTTATTTAAAATTCCAGTTACGCTTTCTCATTTTTTTATAACAAGCCAGCTGAAATATGTTTATATTATTCAGTGTCAAAATTGTTTTGATCGAAGCTACAATGTTATGTTTGGGAAGTTACGTCAAAACCAAAACGATGTCTTTTGTCGGGAATTTATATACGTTATAAAGTATATAAAATACGTTATATAAATTCCATACCGCACTTGTGTGCGGTCTTTAAATAGAATTATTTTTGTAAGTAATCAATGACGATAAAAACGGCGTTTGTCACGTATTTATCGCGATAGGATAGGCGTCATACGATGATAGCTGATAAGTATCATATTGTGTATTTTCTGAGAAGCATAGGTATTATTTGACTCAGACTGCAATGTCATGATATGAGAGTGATTTTCCATTTCCCAGTTATATTGTCATAACTCGTAGATGTTGACGATTTTTTGCCATTAACCAATTAGAAACAGTCTTATGCTGTAAAAGGAAGAGTATCCTATTTTGTATTTCATTTTCCTTGCCTATATTTGCTGCTTCTTTCTGAGTAGCTAAGCTGGCTTTATTAACGATTTTTTTTTTTGGTTCAGAATAAGGCGCTCAATCTCTTATGGACTAAAATCATAATTATACATTATTATATAAAATAGTAATATTTGACTTTAATCTACATATTTGCCTAAAAGGCTCTGATTTTGATACTATTCTTCTCACGTAGATCAAAAATGTCTAAAAAAACATCTCATTCGTGTGGGGTCATAGTCCCTATTTAACATGGGCTCTGAATTCCAAAACTAATTAATGTTCTACCCATTTTTGCGTTTTGAATACAAATAGGTATAATAGAATCTCACGTGCTTTGCTATGCAAGCTTTGCTTTAGTTTTTTATTATTAAAAAAAAAAAACAAAACTAATAAAAATTTAAGTACCTATCCTAGAAAGATTAACTTAATCAGCTCTTTTACATATTGAATGAATTTATCTATATTGTAACTAGAAATAGAATATTAATAATAGATATAATTGCATCTAATAAAACAGATTACAAAAAAAAATTGAAGTTACTACACAAACATTGTCTTTGTTAATTAGAAGCAATCTCTTTCAAGCAACATTTCTAGTGAAAAACGAAAATATTATGGATACAAATATTAGGAAGAATATGTATTAAACCATCGATTCTGCCAATTTTACCGAAATAATTGCACTTTAATGGAGTTTCAATAAGTGAATTTCTCCACTGCATTATTCACCTAACGCCAATATAGAGTAATAGCGTCTTGAGATTCTTTTGGTATTTTGCGATCTGTGTCAAAAAAGTTGCTATTGAAATAAGTTCCATTGTCAAACTATAATTACTATAACATTAGCAGGTATAAGCAGGAGTGTTTCAGTTTTTTTTAAATAACAGGTACTCGATTCGTAATATTATATGGTTATTGCGGTTATGGACACAAATACAATATGAGAAACATCGAAAAGACAAACGGACGTACACCGAACGCCGGCGCCGGCGCCGCTGGACAATACTCTTTTGTTTACTTCCTTTACATCTTAGAGGTGGTGCGAAACCCATAAAAGACAAATCCTTTTAACGGTTCCATCGTCTGTGAAGCCATACGAATAGAGAAAGTGCAACGTTCTGTCTCAGTCTTCAAAGCATAATATAATCTCACTTCATTTGCAGGGATTATAAGGTTACATATACTCGTTAATGAGGTTTATTTTAATAATAAGGCGTAACCAGCGATAAAAATGGAGAAATAATGTCAAATATACAAAAAAAAGAGTTGATTTTAACTGGGGAAGAAGTCTTCAGAAACTTTGTACAACAACTGGACTTTGTACAGTTTCAACGAGTTCTCCTCGTCAAGACAAACTAAAAGTTATTCCGCAACTGCCCCTACGATGCTATGGAAAAATATGGCACAATAAAAATTAAGCTCGCTCAATAGACAATATAACAATAGCTGTCAATAGACAGCCACAATACAATTTTGTTGATGATTTCCTAGAAAACGTTCAACATTCGCTCGCGCGTCACCGCGGAAGCCTGCAAAACCATTACTTTCGCGTCGTCAAAGCATTTGCATTAGTGTTCCTTTACATTTTGTTCATACGTGTGCAAAGGTTACGAAACTTTTTTATATTATTTTCGGATGATGTAATCTTGTGAATTCTGTCTGACTGTCTTACTTTGTACAATTTTTGGAATTGCGAACCCTATGTTATTCATTAGCAAATGAATTTAAATAACATTTGATTCGGTATATTTTGTATACTATTTTACTCCAAAATGCATGAGAATATATACTCTCACATTTAAATAATGAATGATAAATTAAGCTAGCACTAATTACGTTTACGTTTACTCAAATACTACATAGATATTGATAAAAGTTCAATTTCATTAATATACAGGTATTCTTTTATAAGAGTTGTTCATACTTTGGAAATACTGATCTGATCATAAAAATTCTTTCATTTACGGGATCTTTCACCTATTGGAATCTACATCATGCGCGGGTGGCATAATCTATAATTTACGGGCGAGTTGGAAAACAACAAGAAAATTATATATTTAGACTAAATAGCATTTTTAACAGCTGGTTAATGATATACAATATCATGTTACTGTTACACACGTTCGTTTTATTGTGAAGTTGCACAACAACTTTACCGTGTTTTCGTAATAGCTGAGTAGGTATTTATCTGAAAACCAAACTGAACGGACCATTACACAAACACAATCGTTTTATTGAAGAAAGAAGTTGCTGCTTGGCATAAAAGTTCACCGGACTCAATAATGTTGTAAACAAATTGTTCGTTAAAAATCGTTTTCGTTTTTTTTTATTATTGTATCATTGCAACAGTGTCCTATATTCTGTCGATAAATCTTTTTAAACCGGGAATTGTGTTGAAATCGATATGAAATGCAATTTAACAACTAGGTATAAAACCTACTCACTGGTTTTGACAATCTAGTTTTTAGATTTAGGCAATGTTTAGGCACTGATATCGTATTTTTAAAAATACTCTATAAAAAGTGTATAAGTTTTTTTTTCTAGCTAATGAATAAATACCTAGCAATCGTTATGTTGAGCCTATGATTAGTAAGACATTGAAACATCTGATAGCATCGAAATGAATCGTAGTTAAAAAATATGACTTGCTAAGAAAATATATACGCTTACATAATTTTTATTATATGTATGTTCGAGTCACACAAATCTACAATATAGACCTACCTACTTACCTATTAAAAAAAACAACAGCTGAAAAGGATTCTATGAACTCAATTGACTTCATGTAAAAATGTATTGTATTGGTAATTATCTATTAATATTGTTGATCAACAGACATAATAAGACAATAACAACAAATTCATAGAAGAAGACATCGCATCAACATATAATTCGTAACAGACATTCTAAATTAGGTAATATACTTCAATGTAAACTCATTTAAGAACTTAAGCATTAATTATTGATTTTGTTAGACTAGTAGGTCAAGGTGAATTATTAAAGCGCATCTTAAATTACTAACTGCACATGAGTACATATCTAGTAAACAGGAGTGGAAGTTTTTATGGAGAATTGAAACATTACCATAGCAATCATTGTAGTAAATGTATCTAATAATGTATTATTTACAATATTAAATTACGTAGCTATTAAAATTTGGTGTTTATGTAATTTATAACAAAACAATTGTAATTTATAATAAAACAAATTTGCTTTTCTTGAAAATGATCAAACGGAGGCAATTTCGTCAATTAAATTTCAATTTAATTTGCATTAAAGTTATTAAATCCTGTATTGGTTTAGAAATGTAATTTAATAACTTTTATGCATATTAAATTTAAATTTAATTGATTGAGGTTTTACTCATCTTTATGACATTAAAGATTATAAGTAAAATGTTTGAATTCCCATACTAT